AATCATGTTCCATTATTTAAAACAACGATTAATATGCTTCTGTTGTGTCGTTTAAACCGACAGATATCTTGACTGATGACCTAGTGCGGCAAGAAGATAATGGAGAACAACGCAAGTACATGGGAGTATGCAAACTCAATAAGGACAATGCTAAGGTATGGAGATAATAATAATAAGAATGATGATGATGATGATGATGATGATGATGATGATGATGATGATGATGATGATGTTAGATTTTGTTTTTAACCAATACAGCAGTGATCAGGTTTTCTGGGTAATAATATTATTATTCTGGGTAATATTATTAGCGAGCGATTCAACTGTTGAATTAGCTTCCGTAATAATAGGCCCTATGTGTACGTATCATTCTTAGTATCTGTAGTCCATGTTACTCAAGTAATTATTATTATTGTAGCTCATAGAAACCATAATATTATGCAGAATCTTGTATATAGGCTACATTTCCCTTACCATTACCTAATATATATTTTTAGCATCGTCGCCTGGATATCATCGTGTCCCCATGGGAGGAGTATCACTGTGCACTCGTCCATTTCACTGGTTCTGATCATTTTAACCGGTCTATGAGGGCGCTGGCCATTAAAAAGGTTCGATTCAATAGAATTCAGTTTGTTGATGTTTAGTTTAACAAATAATCAATGAGAGAGTGTGTACATTTAATTCGATTGATTGGTTGTTGCATGTGTGATACATAGGTATATCTTAACTGAATTCTTTCATAAGACCATTAGTTCATACTCAACTCCCATTATGATGCTAGTAATTAGCGCTTTCAAATCTACCAGACTCATTTATACTTATGCATAGAAAGGAGTGGAAGGGGGTGGGGGAGGGGTAGAGGGAGCGGATAAAGAGAGACAGTATGGATAAGCAAGGACACACACAAGTCCGTTCTTCCGATTGAAACAATAACTTATTTCCGTACCAGCCATATACTTTTGAAAGTACAGCGCCTTTTCTTGGTAGCCTAATAATGCGATTAAATGCCTACTAATTTTACTTCCTGATTAAAAAAACTAAGCCCTGTGCCATATGTTTTTAAGTACAGCGCCTTTTCTTGGTAATGATGCAATACTAGTGTACTAATATTATTTCCCGATGAAACAAACCACCTTTTCCTGATATGAGGTTTACGACATTATTCTACTTCCCAATCATTCTTTATAACTCATATTGTTAATTCTTTCTCTGAAACCGCACAGGGTATGTCATTATCTGAGCACGCACTTAGACATGGAGTGATCCGACGTGGAAAGGAGAAGATTCACAACGGAACACCTTTACCTGTGCACTCTGAGGAAGATGTCTTCAAACACCTCAACCTGGAATACAGACCTCCCCACGAACGTGATTATTAAGGCTCACGATTACAGCAAGTGTAATAGGGACTGCAGCGAGGACACGTGGGGGAATACGTAAATGATCTTATATATGATTATATATATATATAATATATATATACATACATACATACATATATAT